ACATGTAATTTGATCCTGCCTGTTCTGGGGTGTTGACCCTTCCCCTTTCACACTGCCCCTAATGGGGCAGTAAGTTGCTCAAACTCATCTTTGGTTCCAGGCCCCTCTGACTCCAGAGTCCAATCTCTCAGGGTTAGAGCATGGCTGTGGTGGGCATGGCAGGGTTTAGGAGGGAGGCCCCCTAATCACTAAGCCCCTGTCCCCTCAGCTCACAAGTATGTGCCTCGGGCCATCCTGGTGGACCTGGAGCCTGGGACCATGGACAGCGTCCGGTCTGGGGCCTTCGGGCATCTCTTCAGGCCCGACAACTTCATCTTCGGTAAGTTTCCCCTGCTCTGTCTCTGACGCAGACCCCATTTCAGGCAAACCCAGGGTGTTGGAAACGAAGAACAAAGTCAGCTCCTCACTGCGATCTTGCAGGGTGGGAGCTGACTTCCCTGTTTTGCGGTTGGGCGCTGGAAGCCCAGAGAGTGGACTCCATGCAGGGAGCAGAAACCACTCACGTAGTTCAAGCACAGTGAGGTATAGAACAGAAACGAGCTTACAGAATTGTTCACCAAGTGGGGCCTCCGGAGGACTCTGGAATTCACGATGCGTGGCCTTGCTGTGAGGCTCTCGGGCCTGTTCCTGCAGCAGGGCTCTGGATGCTGTCACAGAAACAGGGCCCCACGCTTCTTCTGCCTTCCAGACCCCAGAATATCCAACTGATAGTTGCTGACTAACACTCAGCCTGGCCGCTTTAAGCTGCCAGCATGGCCAGCCAGAGACACTATCTCCCCTCAGGAGAGAGGCAAGGCGCCAGCCTGACTCCGGAGCCCTCCCTGTCCAGAGCCCTCAACACTGGGCACCATGCCCTGGGGTCCCCAGCACCCAGCAGTGTGGCTTAGGGAAAGGCTTGCAGGTGTGGGAAGCTGTGCTTGGTGGGGCCCACTTACCAGAAGAGAAAGTAGAGGCCCTGGGCTTCCACAGCTGCCCTCTGGGATGTCCAAGCAGGGGCTGGAGGTCTGGAGAGCCCTTGGCCCCTGACCGTCTCCTCCTCCTCTTCTCCCCACAGGTCAGAGTGGGGCGGGCAACAACTGGGCCAAAGGTCACTACACGGAGGGCGCGGAGCTAGTGGACTCGGTCCTGGACGTGGTGCGGAAGGAGTGTGAGAATTGCGACTGTCTCCAGGGCTTCCAGCTGACCCACTCGCTGGGCGGGGGCACGGGCTCGGGCATGGGCACCCTGCTCATCAGCAAGGTGCGCGAGGAGTACCCCGACCGCATCATGAACACCTTCAGCGTGGTGCCCTCACCCAAGGTGTCGGACACGGTGGTGGAGCCCTACAACGCCACCCTGTCCATCCACCAGCTGGTGGAGAACACGGACGAGACCTACTGCATCGACAACGAGGCCCTGTACGACATCTGCTTCCGCACGCTCAAGCTGGCCACGCCCACCTACGGCGACCTCAACCACCTGGTGTCGGCCACCATGAGCGGCGTCACCACCTCGCTGCGCTTCCCGGGCCAGCTCAACGCCGACCTGCGCAAGCTGGCCGTGAACATGGTGCCCTTCCCCCGCCTGCACTTCTTCATGCCGGGCTTCGCGCCGCTCACAGCCCGCGGCAGCCAGCAGTACCGCGCGCTCACGGTGCCCGAGCTCACCCAGCAGATGTTCGACGCCAAGAACATGATGGCCGCCTGTGACCCCCGCCACGGCCGCTACCTGACGGTGGCCACCGTCTTCCGGGGCCGCATGTCCATGAAGGAAGTGGACGAGCAGATGCTGGCCATCCAGAGCAAGAACAGCAGCTACTTCGTGGAGTGGATCCCCAACAACGTCAAGGTGGCCGTGTGCGACATCCCGCCCCGCGGCCTGAAGATGTCCTCCACCTTCATCGGCAACAGCACGGCCATCCAGGAGCTGTTCAAGCGCATCTCGGAGCAGTTCACGGCCATGTTCCGGCGCAAGGCCTTCCTGCACTGGTACACGGGCGAGGGCATGGACGAGATGGAGTTCACCGAGGCCGAGAGCAACATGAACGACCTGGTGTCCGAGTACCAGCAGTATCAGGACGCCACGGCCGAGGAGGAGGGCGAGATGTACGAAGACGAGGAGGAGGAGTCGGAGGCCCAGGGCCCCAAGTGAAGCCGCTTGCAGCTGGGGTGTGGGGCCGGGGTGCCTGTCCCCAGCGACATCAGCTACCAACACTCCCCCGCTTTGCTCCCCGCCAGCTCGCCACTCTCGAGGGCCCCGGGTCCTTGTCCTCCAGCACTGATGGCCGCCCCGCCCCCAGCCCACTGGGCTCCGTCTCCCGCCATAGGCCATCTCTGTCTTGTGTTCCCGTTTGTCTCTGACTTATTGTGGCTCCAGGCCTGATGGTTTATGGTTTGTTTTGTTTTTTTATTGGTTTGTGTTTATATTTGGGGGGATACTTAATAAATCCACTGCGGTCAGATACCCCTTCCTAGTGTTGGAGATTTCTTTTTATTCTGGAAGTTGGGTCCAGAGGGGGTGAGTTGGGGCAGGCGGGGAGACCCGGGGTGCAGGGCTGTGTCGCCTAGGCTGGTTGCTGGGACAGGCCTGTGCTTGGGGCCTGAAGAGGTCTCAAGGCACAGCCCCAGGGAGCCCCTGGGGGAGGGGCGGGGAGAAGGGATGGGCTGGGATAAAGCATCGTTCCAGAACACCCAGTGTGTTCCTCCTGTGACTTAGGAACTGGTCTCCCACAGGGTGACTCATGTTCCAGAGCTTTCCTCCGGCTGGTCTGTGTGCAGAGAGTTGGGGCAGGTGGCCCCTGCCAGGGTGGAAACTGAGGCAAGGCCTGAAGCCTGGCACCTGAACCAGGGGGTTGGGGGGCCCCCTGAGCATCCCGTGGAAAGAAAAGTGTGTTGGGAATGTCAGGACTTGGGCTCTGGGAAGGGCTCAGTGAGATGTGGCCACAGGGCCCAGGGCCAGGCACACGGGGAGCCGCATGCTGGCTCCACGCACCCCTGGAGGTCATGTCCTGTGGACGCAGGACAGAGGCGCTCACTGGCCCCCACGTCCTGTGTCCTCCTGCAGGGAAAGGCTGAGGCCCAGAGAGGCTGGGGGGTGGGGCAGAGCTGGAGCCACACGAGAGACAACCCTGACAGGACCGTGGCTTCTGATGGAGAGGGACCCACTGCCAAACCCCAGCCCAGTTCAGAGGGAGCCAGGGGATAAACATCCTGACCTCTGCACCCTCTGGTCTCTGGCCGAGGCCGCCCACCAGCTAAACTCAGCTGGAAGTCGGGACGGGAGACCTGGCAGGGGTTTCTATTCAGGTCAGCCTGCGCAGACAGAGGGCCAGGAAGAGTGAAGTGGGTCTGGGGGAGGCATCAGCCCCACATCTAGCCTGTCACTTAGTCACCCGAATATCCCTCCACCAGAAGGGACTTCTGTGCTGTTCCCTGCCATGCCCCTCACAGGCAGAAGGATGTCTGACTCACGGTAGGTATTCAATAAATGCTGAATAAACAGCTTAAATTATAGTCTCTCCTGTAACAAGGGGTCTGGACAGGGAGCAGTTGCAGGGCTGCTCTCCTTGTTGGCTCAGCACTTTGTCCAAGGATGTGTGTTCTTTCCCTCTTTCAGCGGCCTGTCCTCCTGTACGGGCCCCACTGCCCCAGGATCACTGCCGCTGCTCCAGTCGTCACAACTAGGTCAGAGGCAGAGAAGGGGAGTTTCTCATCTTGTGCCTCCTGGAGATGAACCCCCCAGCAAGTGTCCCCTCGTGATTCCTTGGCTTGACTTGTATACCTGTTCTTAAACCGACACCTGGCAAGAGGAATAGAATTACTCCAGATGGTTTTCATTAATCAAGGTCGCCCACTGAGGCAGAGAAGGAACGATAGGAACAAAAGGCTCTGGCCATAGTGAGGCGGGGTTGGGGACACACACAAGAGAGTGTCTACAGACAAAGCTGGGCAGTCTCTGGAGGACAGCACTGTGGTGGGGGTGGGGCCTGGAGAAGCCAGTCCTTGGAGGAAGGCAGAGCTGGGATGCTGAGCCACGGGCAGGCAGACAGTGCATGACAGCCGCCTCCAGATCCCCCTGAGCTGTGGTGAGGCAGCCCCTTGGGGGCAAACCGCAGAGTGTGTGACAATTAAGGGAATGAAACCAGGGGTTGCAGATGGCCCCAGCAGCTCCAAGGCAGAATAGGCCACCCCAGTGGGTGGGGACACCGAGCAGGCCCCAGCAGAGGCTGGGTGACCGTGGGCCGAGAGAGTGAGGTCGATGTCCAACTCAGGGGACATTTCCCTTCTTCCTCCCGCCCCTCATCCTTCATAAACCTCCCAGCGTTGGAGGCTGAGAGTGCTTCTGAAGGCTGTTCTCGAAGTGCTCCCAACAGCTTGCATTGTCCAAAGATGGCCCCGGTACACCTTCTGCCCCACAGGCTGTTCCAACAAGAGTTAGAGACAAATTCCCCCCCATTGAACCCCACCACGATGACAGTGCCCAGCAACTGGGGGATCCCAAGTGGGAGCCACAATGCCATCTCGTTTACCCTCTCTAAGCCTGGGCCAGGTGGTGATCTACAGGAACAGTGGCTTGAGCCAGTTGGCCAAGGTCATATAAGGGGTGGAGCGAGATTCCAATCCAGTTCAGGGTAACTGTGGGCTCTGTGCTCCTTCTCCCTCCGCTAAGACCTGGAGGGTCTGAGCTGCTGCTCCATCTGCCCCTCCAGGGTCCTCAGTCCTAGAGATTCTGTTTCCACCTGGCCTCTCTGTCCTGGCTCCTCCCTGCCAGACTGTGGGACCCTCCCAGCAACACCCCTCAGCCCCACCACCATTCTGAGCGCCCACCTGAGCCCCGCAGTCCAACCTCAGCCCAATAATCAGAGGGATACTGGGGAGAAGTCAGACTCAGACACTATCATGGTGTCCCCTCTGAGCAAAGTGGGCCAAGTCCAGAGGCAGCCAAAGCTGTGCCCTTCTACAGAGAGGGGAAACTGAGTCTGGGAGCTCAGGACCACCACAACCGATATGTTGCCACCTGTCTGCTTTCACCTGTCCTCAGCTTCTCCCTGTGGGATAAGGGGCATTAGGTGAGGAAGCTTATTCTTGAGCTGGCAGCGGGATGTGGGGGGTGGGAGTGGAGCAGCCCTGCTTGCTGTGCGCAAGAACAACTGCAAAGCAGTAATGATACCAGGCTCTACAGACACCGGCTGCCTTCAGAGTCCTGTCCCCCGCCCCTCCATTGAACAGCCCCATATCTCGCTGTGCTCAGTTTCCTCCTCTGTAAAGTGGGGTGCAGTGACATCTTGTCCCTCCCTCGCCAGCTGTGAAGACCACACGGGGTCCTGTAGGTGCGTCCAGCAGTATCTGCCACTGCATAGTGGTTCTCGCTTCCTTTTTTCCCTCAGCTGCTGGTTTTTTTTTTTTAAAAAAACTAAATGCCACCAATTTTTTTTTAAGTGTTGTGGCTTGGATTTAAACCAGGACTTTTGCGAGTGAGGGAAATCTAGGAAACGCATGCCGGGCCATACCACTTTGGACGGCGGGGTTGGCGTCCGACCTGGAGGCAGCAGGGGCGCGGGGCCGAGCCGAGGTGTCATGAGCCTCCGGGCCGGAGGCGGCAGCAGCGGGCGGCGGGGCGGACACTGTAGCGGGCGGCGGGGCGGACTCAGTGCAGCCGGCGCGGCGGGGCGATGTAGGCGGCGGCGGCGGCCAGGTGAGCGGGGGCTCCGCGCGCGGGGGGCGCGGGCGGGGAAGGAGCCGGGACTCGGCCCGCGGGGCTCGCGGGGCTCAGCAGCCCGGTCCCGACGCGGAGCTGCCGGAGGATTCGGAGCGGGGCAGCTCAGGGCCTCACAGCGTCTGGTCCTCCTCTTCCTGCGCAGGGGGCGCCGGTGAGCTCAGCTGCCCCCCGCCCTTGACACCAGCCGAGGCTGTGCGGGGCCCTTGAGGCCCAACGGACCCTTCCGGGCTGCCCCCAGCCTCAGTGCCCTCGTCTGCAGAACGGGTGGGTGTGGTGGGAGAGACCTGCCCCTGTGGGGAGCCTGGGACACAGGGTCCCCAGAGAATTCGTGTGGTTAGGGCTGAAGGTGGGGGAGGCACAGCTCTGGGGGGGCTCGTCCCTGTAGCAGGCAGTGAAGGCGCTGCCAGGCTTTGGTGGCAGTAGTAACCTTAAGGAATAGTAACCCTGTCTCTGCACGCCCCTGCATCCTGGCAGGTGTTCCAGGCGTGAGCAGGTAGGACAGGACGTATCCACCCCACCCTCCAAATTATCAGGGCCTCCCGTGGCAGCTGCAGTGTTAACACTTCTCAGCCACACCAGGGGCGGGAGACAGGAGGTCGGCTCAGCCCAGCCCGGGATCCCTCAGTGCCCTGGAGCCCTTTGGGCTTTATTCTGAGGTCTCCTTCAATTGCTAAGTTGTGGAGTCCACCCCCCCGCCCACACACACACCATGCCAGGGGTCGTCTCCAGCGCTGGGCCAGAGGGCGGAGTAGCCTGTTTCTTTCCTTTCTGTCTCCCACTTCCTGCTTGTTCCTTTCTGAGGCGAAGCCCGAAATCTGGGGGCAGAACTCTGGGGTGAATCTGGTGACGGGGGTGAGGGGCAGGCCGGCTGACGCTCTGCTGGTAGCTGCTGCTACACCCTGTGGCCCCTGGGTCAGTGTGCTGGGTTGCTGTCTCTCTGCCCTCAGCAGAGGGGGAAATGTGATTCTTCAACTTGGCAGCAGAGAAACTAGGGCTGAAAGGTCAAATTGCTCCACTCGATCATTCACTGCCTCTGTGCCAGCCTGGGCTGGCCCTGGCACTGCACTCAGAAGCTGAATAAAAGTTGCTTTTTTCACAGCCCAGAGGAGAGCTACTGGGAAGAGTAGAGGTGTTCCTGCCAGGGCGCCTGCCTTTGACCTCCTCTTCCGTATTTTAAAACACCAGGAGGTTTCCAGGGAGAGCCCCCAGGAGTGGCTCCTGCAGCCCCATGACGGGCCCTTTGGGTTGGGCCGGTCACCATGTGATGACGGTGAAGTTTGCACAGCAGCAGCTGTGGGCTGATGGCCTCACTGACACACACAAGTGCTTAGTCCTTCCACCCACCCCAGGAGGCAGGTGTCCTCCCTGGTTTATAGGTAAGAAAATGGGGTCATGTAGCTAGTCTCTGAGACAGCTGGAATTTAAATCAAGGCTGTCTGATTCTTATAATTAATAGTGACAGTGATAATAAGTTATAGTTGATGTTTATCGGGTGCTTACTAAGTGCTGGCCAGTTTTGTCAGAACTTTGTATTGACTAATTTAATCTTCACAGTAACCCTGTATGCTACTATTAATATTATAATCCCCATTCAAGATGTGAGAAATTGGAAGCAAAGGTTTATACATTTACCCAAGTTCACACAGGCAGGAGCGGGCAGAGTAGGGATTAAGTTGGGCCTATCTGCCATTTCACCATGAAGCTACTGGGATGATTAGTCAGAATCTTCTTTGGCTGCAAGAGACAGAAACTCCCCTCCCAGTAACAGTGGTGTACATGGAAGTTTATTTCTGTTTCGTATGAATGAAGCCCACCAGTGAGCAGCTCAGAGCTCAGGTGGCGTCCACTGCAATCTTGTCACTCTGCCGTCCTCATTCATAGCTTTTATACCACAGCCCAAGGTGGCTGCTTCTGCTCCACCCATTACATCTGCATCCCAGACAGTAGGAGGCAGGAAGGGCTGAAGAGGGGTATCCCCTCCCTTTAAGAATAATTCCCAGAAGTCTCATGTGGTCTTTCTTTTCACATCCTATTGGTCAGCACATAGTCACATTACCACATCTAGCTGCAAGGGAGGCTGCAAATCATGTGAGAACCCAAAAAACAAGGGCTCCCTACTCAGGAAGAAGTGAGTGGGTGAATGTTGGGACAGTGTGATCTGCACTCTGGGTGTTCCCTAGGACGCTCTGAGGAGGCATTGAGCATCAGGTAGCTGCCTCTGACTCTACCATGCTGTGTGACCTACCCAAAGTCATCAGGTAGTGTGTTAAAGAGGTGAGACTCCAGCCCACAGCACCTGTATCCTGCCCCTGCCTCCCTGTTTCGATCCAGGGCAGCCCGTCATTGGGTGCTGGGCCCTGCCAGGCTTGAACTCCAGCTGCCCAACCCACACCCCCCATCACAGAGGCATAGCAGGTAGGACGGGTCCCACAGGTGGTGCAGAGCCGCTGACCCAGTGTGGCGGCCAGCAAGGGGTGGAGTGAGGCCTCCTCATTCAGCTGCCGGGGAGGGTTCAGGCCCCAGCTCCCATGATGACACTGTGTGACCCTGGGCAGGGCTGTCCCCTCTGGGCTCAGTTCTCTTTCTTTCAGGGAAGGGACAGAGGAGGAGTCATGGGATTGCCTTTTGTGATTACAAATTATTTCAGACTGTAACAGGTATACAGAAAGCATAAGCAACACCGTGCGCTTGCTACACAGCTTTAAAATCTCTCCAACTTCTTATAACATTAACAAACCTTACAGAGAGCTTATTTTGTGTTCAACATCAATGACTCATTTCACCCTCACAGTGACCCATTTATGCATAAAGAAGGTGGCCTAGCTAGTTAATGGGGAAGCAAATGCAAACTGCCTCCTTCCCCCCAACCAAAGCCCCTTCCCTGTGCCTTGTGTGTTCTGCAGTTTGCTAATCCTGGGAGAGGGGGGAGCAGTTGTTGGTCCTCAGCTTCCTCCAGATAGTGAACCAGGCACTTCCCAGCTATATCACTCGTCGGTGGGATTGGAACCCAGACCCGAGTGGTGCCAGCACAGCCTAGAAGCATCTATAGAGTCTTCTCCATGTGTGGCCAGTTAATCCTCTCAAGAACCCCTACCCTGGGCCGGGCGCGGTGGCTCACGCCTGTAATCCTAGCACTCTGGGAGGCCGAGGCGGGCGGATTGTTTGAGCTCAGGAGTTCGAGACCAGCCTGAGCAAGAGCGAGACCCTGTCTCTACTAAAATTAGAAAGAAATTAATTGGACAACTAAAAATACATAGAAAAAATTAGCCGGGCATGGTGGCGCATGCCTGTAGTCCCAGCTACTCGGGAGGCTGAGGTAGGAGGATCGCTTGAGCCCAAGAGTTTGAGGTTGCTGTGAGCTAGGCTGATGCCTAGCCCGGGCAACACAGTGAGACTCTGTCTCAAAAAAAGAAAAAAAAAAAAAAAAGAACCCCTACCCTGGGGCCTGGGGAAGGTCACCTGCAAGTGGTGGAGCAGGAATGGCCCTGGGACTGGCTGCAGAGTGTCCAACACTGAGCCCTCTGGGGGGGCTGTGGTTTCAGGGTGCCCTGAGGGGAAAGGAGCTCCTCGAGTCAGGGGCTGGGAAGGAGGACCCCGTCTCTGGGAGGTGTGTCTCAGGAGGCATCTAGCAGCTGAAGCCCAGCAGGGCGCCCTCCTGGGCACCCCCTAGGGCTGGAGCCCTGTAGCACCTGGGGCCAGAGGGCCCTGTGTTAGAAGGCAGGGGGTGCGGGTTCCAGACTCTCCCGCTGGGCACCCTTGGGTGAGTCCTGTGCCCTCTCTCAGCTCTGCTTGTGCCACTGCATGATGGGCTCTTCTGGGGGTTTGGGTGGGGGTAGCTGAGGCGTTTTGGGAGGGGCTGAGGATCAAGGCCGTGGCGTGGAGATGCCCCACCCTGACCCTTCAGGGACGTGGAAGAGGCTGGCCTCATCCCCGAAACCCCAGAGGACTGGGGGAAGGGGCTGGTCTGTGGCTAGCCTGGAACCTGGGCACTCACCCCGACTCTGTCTGGCCCCCAGGTGGGATGCTATGGAATATGATGAAAAGTTGGCCCGGTTCCGGCAGGCCCACCTCAACCCCTTCAACAAGCAGCCTGGGCCGAGGCAACATGAGCAGGAGCCCGGCGAGGAGGCCCCGGACGTCGCTGTTGAAGGTGGGTGCTGGCGGGGGGCGTGGAGCTGTGCAGGGATCTGACCCCTCACCCCAGCCCCAGCCTCCTTCCTTCCTGCTGCCTGGCAGGTGAGCACTGGCTTCCCCAGAGAGCTGGCACCTGCTGTCTGCCCCCTTTTCCCCAACAGCACAGTCACTTTCCATTTGCTCTCCGGGTTGCTTCTGTGTCCCCACCAGAATGAGCACCCCCGAGGGCAGGGATTTGTGCCTGACCTGTCACGGCTGTATCTCAGGGCCAGCACACAGTAGGTGCTCAGTGAACACTTGTGGACTGAACTCAGAGCTGAGATCTGGAGGGCGAGAGTTCAGTGGACAGAGTGTCTCGTTCAAAAGCCCCACTTCTCTGGGGGTCAGGACAGCACGAGCTGCAGAAACCGCAGATACGGTCGGCAGGGAGTTCTTGGGGCCAGGGCAGGAGACGGCCTCGAGTCCACCCGGCTTTGTGGATTTTGCTGTGTAGCCTCCGGTAGCTTTCCTTCAACCCATACATTTATTTACTCACGATGCCTTAGAATTGGGGATGTCTCTATGATGCTGTGTTGTGGGCACGTCAGCACCACTGAGCGACATTCTGCCTCACCTTTTTGAATGACTCTTTCCTGTCTGCGTGAAGACACGGGTTCCTCCGCATGTGCCAACCGGACGGACGTCAGACCAAGCAGCATCTCCTTCCCTCGATGCCTCCTTCCCGTGGGCTCCCTGAACCCCCTTCCCATCCCAGCCATCCAAGCTCCTCCCTGGGGGATGAGGGGCCACAGGCCGACCTTTCTCTCCCTGCAGCCCTCCACACCTGCCCCCTCCCCACAGAGGCCCTGCCCGAGCCGCCCCCTGGGGAGCCGGAGTTCCGCTGCCCTGAGCGCGTGATGGACCTCGGCCTGTCTGAGGACCACTTCTCCCGCCCCGTGGTAAGGGTTGGATCTGGGAGGGAGAGGGGGCTGGGTGAATCCCCCACGGTAGGAGGGGCCGGTGGTTTCCTCGTCACCCGCTCCCGGCGGCAGGGCCGTGTCCTCTCAGACGCTATCCCGGGAGCTGAGGGTGAGTCTTCCTTGTGAACCACCCACCGCCTCCGGGCTCAGCTGCCCCAGCCTCTGCCCAGGCTTCTGGGCCTTGAATCTCTGGCCTACGGGACACCCGACTCCCAGCCTCAGCGCCTGGTGGAGACAGCCTGGACTTGGGGTTCCCGTCCCCTGAGCTCCAGGTTCTCGTGAGAGAGTTGATCCCCCCTGGGGTC